CAGCCTGGGCAACTTGGTGAGACCTCATCTCTACAATAAAAGCAAAAAAATAGCCGAGCATGGTGGTGTGTGTCTTCAGTTCCAGCTATTTGGAAGACTGAGGCAGAAGGATCACCTGAGCCCAGCAGGCCGAGGCTGTGGTGGTTGTGAGCGTACCACTGCAGTCCAGCCTAGGCAACAGTGAGACTCTGACTCAAAAATAAATAAATAAATAAATAAAAATAAAATAAAAGCTAAGTGGAAGATGTCAGTACCAGCTTCTTATAGAGCCCTGAGACCACAAGATCATGCATATAATTTTTAAAACTATTGCTACAGTGTTTATTTTAAATATACAGATAGATATGAAATATTGATCTCTACCAATCACCATATAAATTTTTTTGGAGGGCAAAATTAGATTCAAAGGTAATCAAAGCTATAGGAAAACCACCTCTAGTAGCATATATAAAATTAGGAGCCATGAAATTTAGCACCTTCTGATTTCCACAGGGGGAGAAATATTCATGCACAGTTTTTTATTATTATAAAATTTGTTGAATTTTATAAAATCTGTTTATAGCAAATTTTACTTAAAGTTTAATTGCAAAATGAATGAAGTTTATATCACAACCTACAGATATCTTAAAACTGAGAATTAGCTGTCCATGCCATTCAAAAGACCCTTTACCATGTTTGAAGTTACTATTTTTACTTCCAAACCTCTTTCCAAATTTCTCTTCTCTCCCCTCTCTTCCCTCTTCCCCTCCCCTCATAATATGAGTATCCTAAAGCTGTCTGTATGAGCTGGTGGCCTTCTGGAAAGCATTTTTCATGCCTTTACTTTTTATTAGTACAGATAATATTAGCCCTTACAACATGGATTTTCTAAGCTTTATTGGTTCTGCTATCATCAGTAGATACTAGAAATTCCAAGGAATAAATTATCTTTTTCTTCTTTCTATAACCTCTCTAATCTTTAAAATTTAACCTGATGGTTAATGTAATGTAAATAGTTCCAACATCATCAGTTTGTTTTGTGCTTTGGATTTACATGAAAGAACAATAACAATTTAACTCATTCCATTCATAATGTTTATGTTTAATGCTGTGAGAAGTTTCCATTTTTATCAGCCCATTGAGCATTGGAGCTCAATTTGAGTATACAAATCATATTGTAAGACAAAATAATAACCTTTTAAATGTGTTGCTATATACTATTAATGACATGCTATTAGAATATTTTGGGGCACCACAGTAGACCTACTTTGGTGGTCTGGGTTGAAAATGTTTGTTAAGTGTTTCATTAAAATGATTAATAATGAAACACATGCAGAAATTTTCACTTTTTTTTATACAGAAGATACACAGAAGCTATGATGTAGATTGACTTAGGTCAAGGTCATGCTATGTGTACTATGATATGGATATAAATTATTGTACTTAGCTTTGGTAGAATGGCTGCCATAGAAATGCCTATCATTTAGTCAATGAAGGTCAAATATAAATGCCTGCTCATTCCTTAAATGGAGCTTGAGGTAATGTTATAAATGTGAATTTAAGACTATAACTTGATGGTTTGATAGGTTTAGATCTGGGAGGAGAATGTATCTAGGCAGAGAACAGCAAAAAGAGGTACAAGGCACATACTAGGAATCAGGAGTTCAATAGCTCAGGATGTCTGGCCACTGGTAAATAATGAAATGTAAGACTAGAATTCTGGGGTAACCTGAAATAGTCATGATAATTATAAAGATAATTCAGTCTCTTAAAGTTTAAGAAAGAGACATTGAAGTACGAGTATGGTGTATGGAACTAGGAACCATTGGTTTGTTTCCAATTTGACCAGCTTGGAAGTCAGTGGGGCTGTTGACATTGGGAAGGGAAGAAGCCCAGTTCTTTCTATTACTAGTACCCGCGAAATACGAGGGCTAGCTGGACACAGTGGCTCATGCCTGCAATCCCAGAACTTTGGGAGGCGGAGGCGAGAGGATTGCCTGAGTCCAGGGTTTCGAGACCAGCCTGAACAACTTGGTGAGAACTCATCTCTACAATAAAATAAAAAATATTAGCTGGGCATAGTGGTGTGTGCTTGTGGTTCCAGCTACTTGGAAGGCTGGAGCAGAAGGATCACCTGGCTCAGCAGATCTAGACTGCACCCCAGCCTGTGTGACAAAAAAGAAGAAGAAAGAAAAAAACACAGGGGCTACAGCTACTGCAAGGAGAACTAGGTATCTTGGTAGAAAGATATAAGGTGATAAGTGCAAGCTTTCCTCTTTTCCCCATTCTACCTTTATGTATATCTCCTCTACATAACCACTGCCAACCGTTTTTTATATTTACTTGTTGAATCTTTACTTGTTGGAATCTCTCACTCTGTTGCCCAAGCTGGAGTGCAGTGGCACACTCACAGCCACTGCAGCCTCAGCCTGCTGGGCTCAGGGATCCTTCTGCCTCAGCCTTCCAAGTAGCAGGAACTACAGGCACACGCCACCATGCCAGGCTAATTTTTTGATTTATTGTAGAGACGAGGTCTCGCCAAGTTGCCCAGGCTGGTCTTGAACCTGTGGGCTCAGACAGTCCTCTCACCTTGACCTCCCAAAGTGCTGGGATTATAACTGCCAACCTTTTATACTAAATTTCATTTCAATCTACCCAAGCAGAAACACATTGCTTTGGATGTGGTACATTAAGAAAATGAACATGTTTTACAGTATGACACACTACCTTTTTTTTTCAGTTGTGGGGTACATGTGAACATTTACTGCATAAGTAAGTTGTGTGCAGGTGAGGTATGGGCTTTTAGCGAGCCCTCTCTCCCTCTGGTAGTGGACATGATACCCAGTGTGTGACTGTGTGCCCCTTATCCCTTTTCCCTCCCTCCCTCCTTTAGTAGTGTCCAGTGTCTGTTGTTCCCACTTTTGTGCTCGTGTGTCCCGTGATCAGGGCCAGCTTATGAGTAAGAACATTCAGTATTCAGTTTTTTGTTTCTGTGATAGTTCACTTAGAATGCTGGTCTCCAGCTGCATCCATGTAGCTACAAAGGACAGCATTTTGTTCTTTACAGCTGGGTAGTATTTAATCATGTCTATGTACCTACCACATTTTTTTTTTATCCAGTCCACTTTCAATGGGCATCTGGGTTGTTTTCGTGTTTTTGCTATTGTGAAGAGAGCATGGCACTTGACAGCAAATATTAATTGCTGATGAGTTTACTTACAAATTGAGAATTTGTGTTATAAGTATTCCTTTTCAGTGATATAAGTAAACATTTCTCAATCATGCAACCTCTGTGATAACCAAGAATACATCCCACAGAACATCTTGTACATAAACCATGTTTTATTTTATTTTACATAAGCTCAAAGTCTTTAAATGAATTTCACAACTTTTTACAATAAGAAAATCTTTGTTCTAACAAAAAAACAAAGGATTCAACAAATTCAACACCAGTATACAGATTAAATATTTTAAGTCAAAATTTTTATGGTTACATGAAAACTCTCTATTAGCTATTGATTGATTGATTGAGTTGGAGTCTCACTCTGTCACCCAGGTTGGAGTGTGGTGGCATGTTCATGCCCACCCCAGTGTCAACCTGCTGGGCTCCGACGATCCTTCCCACCTCAGCCCTCCAAGTAGCCGGAACTACAGATGCGTGCAATTACATGCTAATTTTTGATATATTGTAGAGACGAGGTCTTGCCACTTCGCCCGGCCTGGTCTTGATCATGCGGGCTCAGGCAATCCACTCGCCTCGGCCTCCCAAAGTGCTGGATTACAGGCTGAGCCACCGGACCCTGCCGCCTTCTTATATTTTAAAAACAATTTGCAATTTAAAAAAGCACTACTCAGGAACTTGTGACATGCGTTTATTGATTGTCTTACCATAGGAGTTAAGGAACAGATGAGTTAAGGTACAGATCAAACACTTGGAATAGCCCAGATATAACTAT